TGAGATTAGCTAACAGAGAGTTTTGGTTAGTTAATATCTATATATACATATATAGATATATCTTTTTATGGGATCGATATCTAAAGAGTTCTTACTAAAAGCATTATCCATTTACTTTTCTTTAAATCATATTCTCAATGTGAAATCTAGTGGAGTCTACTGGTTACATCTGTATGGATGTGATTATATAAATGAATGTTGAGACAAGACAATTTCATAGTATTTGTTGACTATCATTTATCTACTAACTGAATTTTACTGTTTGTAGAATGATAGATTAGTTATTTTTTCTCTGATTGATCATTAAATGATTACCAAGTTTAACGATTTAGTGTCGTGTTACATATATCAGTCAAAAATCATCGAGGTAGAGGCTGATATGGGTGTATGTTGTCATACCAAAATAATACGAGATGAAGTTGAAATGGTGAATAACAAAAAAGATTGAAATGAGTTAGTAGCGGTAGCAATAAGAATAAACATTAGTAATATCATTTAAGACAGTTTGTAAAATATTTATGAGGGAATAATGAAATCTAACTCGAAGGGAGATTTTAGAGAGAATGAATCAGGGCCATATGTAACTATTTATGAGCTATGTCACTTAAAGTCCGCAACCGTTAAATCCCAAATATTTCCTTGATCGTAACCGGGTAGTTTGAATCTATGTACACAACAGAGACTAACATTTAATAATTTTTAAAACTGAGACCCCATCTTTGATCCACTGCTTTATCTTCAATAGATGCTCCGAAGACACTTTTAATCAAAGATCTATTACCATCACATGCCTTTCTTCTCTCAAAGACAACGATAAAGTAATGCAGGGAGAACTGTTGAATCATATAAACGCCTTTTTTTTAAAGACGGATATGTCACGCTGCAAGTGACGTTAGGTGGAAAAGCTAACTGAGCTTTCTGAATTCATGTCATGATTTCTTTGCAAACAAAGGTACTAAGAGTGATGGGATATACATTAACAGGAAGAAGCACAATTCAAACACTCTAGAATTGTCGCGCAAGACAATCGAAATACTCAGCAGTGAGTAAGCATCCCCATTAAATAGGAATATGTCTACGTATTTTGAACTTGAAAGCAAATCTCCTGGCAAACATCAACTCATTGAAAAGTAAACTGATTACCTGTAGCAAAAGATAAACATGTACTAATTTCAATTTCTCTATAATGAATAGATTCATTCCTAAGTAACGCTCATCACATACTAACCATTCAGTTGAAGACCGTTTGAAAAGCCGAAAAAATCCATAAATATTTTTTGATCTACTCATGGACTAATCAAGTTATAAATTGTATGTAAACTATTTCACAAAAAAGTAACCATTATTGATAAGAAACATTCGTTTCTACCATTTTTCAGTCTTTCATTTATATTCATTGGTATAACAAACAGCGACTTGAAGTAAATAAACCATTCAGTATAGTTTAGGTTTCGATGGTTGTATAATAACTATGATCACGTCCATGTGAATACCGCTTTTATTAAATCACTGATAGCCCCCATATACAGCCGAGAGTGGAGAGAGTCCGCTCTCCCCCACCAAATGCTCTCACATAGTCACATGCATACAACCACTAACAGGGAAGTCCTACTCAATGCCCTCGCGCGCCAGTGATGTTGTTTACGAAATTGAGAGGACGAAAACTGAATGTCCGGCACTTTAACTGACTTGATGTACATGGAGAGTCCACCTAAGGGAGTTGGAAAGCCCTGATTTCAAGCCAATGGTGCACATGAGATCCATGATCCTGAAGGAACAAATGGCGTATGAACCTATCATTGGTCACCTGCTACCATGTGACTACATCTCCTGACGTTGCTCCACTACCTTGTAGATGGACCTTTAAACTGAAGGCTCGTGGTATGGCCTCCTAAGAAATTCACCTGCCTCGGTTTAAACACCCGAACAGTATCCTAGCCCTCACACAAATCGGATGATCTATGTAGCGCATATCTATTTGATGCCTCCTTGTACCAATATTTGTTTAAATAATAAATCACTGATTGTACCGATAGAATAAAACTGACTCAATATTATTCATCATGAGGCAAGTTATTTTTGCTAATAAAAATGCCAATAACATATTCCATGTATTTTTAGTAATGAATAAGGGATATAAAAAAAAACAATACTTAATTTTGTACTTTATACAATATAAATATAAAAGATCACTCTGTCTTATGCACCAGTGAGAACAATAGAAATCATCATTCTATTGACTAATTGAATGAATACATAAACAGGAATTTTATAATTTCTTCATGTATCACAGTGGTTTGGTTGTTGTTGGTATAATTCCCAGTACCATCTATTCAATCTTTTAATCAATGAATCAATGTATAGTCATTAGAATAAAAAATCTTGGTGAAAAAAAAACGTTTTTCCATATAAATTCTGAAGTAAACAATTAGAAACTTGTTATAACATGCTGATCTATTAAATCTAATGTATATTAGTATGAGTAGTTTTGGTAAAAGAAATGAGTAAATATTTAATTATCAGTGAGCGTGTGTGAGAGTGTGTGTGTGTGTAGTTTTTTTGTATCTTGGAGAATAATCATGATCAATATGTTCAACATTTTCCCTTTAAAGTTTATTTCAGTCATTTCTTTCTCTTTTGATTTATTTAGGCTACTGAATATATTCATTGTATGTGAAAATTATATTTGAAATATTCTCAACGATTGAAATTTAACTAATTCCAACGTTTCGTCCAGCTAACTTGTCTGGACTTCTTCAGGGTAATAATCAAAATCAAAATTATATTCATAATGGTTTACTATGAATATGTTCAATATTAGTTTAACTCAAACTTATATTCAACTAAACTCTAATCATTTATCGAAGGATACAATATTGCCAATAGGGGACATTAAAAAATATTATTGAAATTTAATAAGGCATTAACTATTAAATTGCTAAAAAGTTTTACATTCAACTAATAGGCCTTATGTTCTAACTTTTATTTCGTTCTACCTCAGAACTACGGAAAAGTGAACAAAGCTGAGACTAATTGTCATTGATATAGAATTTTAGTTCAGGTGCTAATAGGATTTTTTAGGGGGAGGGTGCGATGTACTCCCATTTAAATGATTGTTGGATATAAGTCGAACGAGTTCAGTTTCATCAGTCAATTTTTGCTATCTCTTTGTAATGCACTAGTTATAAATTTTTTTAAAAAAATACTTGTAGATTTCTTGATTATATGAGGCATCGTATACTTCTAGGTATTTGGAGTTTGTACTACAAATTATATACACGTTATTATTAGACGGACGTTTCCAGTATGGTATTAGCTATCTCAGACAGTTGACAAATCTAACAGTGTACTATACAAGGCGGCCTGCTTGAATATCTGAGCTACCTGTTTCTGCCATTTAGATATTACATCATGTTATCTGTTTTCTTGTTTGTTTTAACAGATCATTATGCCTATTAATCGCATAACCTATTCAGGTGTGAAAAGTTTACGACTTTTCGCTGTACAAGTTACAAAAGAGCCCAATCAGAGACATCGTGGTTGCTGACAGTTGACATCGAAAAAGGATATACATTAATCAGATGTCTATTCCTGAACTGATAACATCCAGCTGGCGACCACTCAATATTTATCGCAAAGGTCGATTTGCTATATTGTACCAAAAATAGAATATTGAATAAAGCCACTAATAGTAATAATGATAAAATAATAATGATGTTTATATTTTTACAGTTTCTCATAATTATAAGGTTCAGCTGATTAATAACTGAGGTATTCTGATTGATCCCAATTGAAAAATGATATATTATTCAAATCAATTATATAAAAATGATTTTAAACTATAGAACCTTAATTGAAATCAAATTAGCTTAATGAACTTTGTTTTTTTCTTCAAAGAATATATAACATATTTATTCAGTATTCATAGGTTCAATATTTGAAATAGTAGCTAAGGTTTACAACCATGATCAAATAGTATTCACTTGGTATTGTTTGGCTTGTATCTTCCCATTGAGGTTTAAGACTGCAATTGATCAGTCTGCGTATGTGCATACTGTGCGTATGCCTCGATATTACCTTAATTCACAAGCTATTTGTAAGCAATGATGGATAGTGGTTAGCAATTAGATTTATATTATCAATTATACTAGGTAGTGATTATTATTATTATTATTATTATTATCAAAGTTCATAGTTTGGAATCATTTACATAAAACTGTATTGTACAAGAAATAATGTAAAAACGTTCTATAGTTAATGAGTTGTGGGAGAATGTAATATCTATTATATATTTGTACCATGGTTCTTATTTTCATATGACATCATAATGGCATTATGAAATTATGGAGGCAAATACTAGAGTGATAAAAGTAATAACAGGCATAGTATCAAACATGATAATAAGTTGAAAGAGGAATTCATGGAATAAAACGTCTAAAATGATTTTGAAAATTAAAGTCTAAGGAAAGACAAAGGTATGATTGTATTTGGGCTGTTGTAATCGATTGTGACCCATCTCATCTAACATCTCTAGCAATTGATTACGATAAATAGTCTAATCCAGATCGTCTAGTTTACACCAACCTAGATAATTCAGTTCAGCAAGTAATGACAATGTTGGACATCATGTATTGTGAACAACTATATACTAGGATACAATTATATCCATTTCACGAGTCCCAAATAACATGAAATTGGCTTTTTCGATGTACCTACTATGTTCAATTTAACTATATGAATGATTTACGGGCTGTTTTTATGCATTATAAACTGTCACCAACTAGAGTAGTATAATATACCAAAAACCATTATTCTTGGGTAGTTTGACATTCTTCAACTATGTACAATCACAATTTCAGTCACCCAAGTTCTCTTACTATAGCTTCAACTGCCTTTTCATCATAAGAACTACACAATTCAACCGAACTTAACAGTTATATGTTTTAAAAGAAAAAAATGACAATTACTTTTTAAAAAATACATAGAATACACTCACTCACTTGATATTTGTTCCATGATGATGTATTGAAGTTGTTGTGTAATCATGTCCACAAGTTATTGTCTCCATGATACAATCACGTCTTTTATCAGTCATTAAAACAAGTGTAATAGTGTAATAAGTCAATTACTTATAGTATTAACAAGATTATTATACGTAATAATGATTATGATAATAATGTTTGTTCTGTTGAGATCCACACACACAGAATTAATACATTAATAAACAAGATGTAGAAGAAGAGATTTTGTTGAATGTTAATTCAAATGTGGAATGATTGAAACCAGAACTCTTTTGATCAGAAATGTTTATATATATATTACAATGAATAAATGAATACAATGTCTGGTTGGTTAGCTTTTAATGAAACAAAAATTTCTATCTAAAGCAGTTTTATTGATAGATAAATACACAAACAATTACACACACACACACAACATACTAACATACATACACCATTTGATCTTAAGAAATAAATGGAATGATTATTATGATTATTTGTTGCCTATAAACATCTATGTTACTTTTGTGTGTTAGTTATTATTTTGGTTTGTGTATCTATCCATCTATCTATCTATCTATCCATAAATGTATATTTGAGTTTTGCTTATGGGGGCGGTTAGTAGGGTTGGATATAATATAGTTTTAAAATTCTCAAGTTGGATTGGTTTTTCTGATTTTTAAGATAATTGTGCTTAAAATGTGCTAACAACAAATATCAACTTTTTATAAATATATATGAACTGGATTGTACAGGCAATATATATTTTATTCAATTTATGATCGTCTGTTTGTCTCTTAGATAAGGAGTCTGAATTATATATATGTGTATTCATCTATTTACTATTCATGTGTGCTTCTGTGTATAGCATGCATGTATGTGCGTGTGTGTGTATATATATATTTCAAATCAAGGAAATATACATAATGGAACTAATTTGAACACCCTAGGATCATATCATCTCATATACAACACATACATACACACTTAATATTTCACTTCAATTTAATTACCATTAATATTAGTTACCAAATCAAAAAGAAGTTTTATCATCTATTTTTACTTATGAAGGGGTTTTTATTGTTAATAGATTAATGAGAGGAAATGTTATTTCATACTTCTTTTTTTTAACCAATCATTGAATTGTATTTAAAAAAGAAGGGAGAAAGTGAGAAAATTTTACATTTCTAATGAAATGAAAATCTTATATTGTTATCTTATTAATGTGACACAATATTAGAATGTATAGATAGAATATGGTTAATTTCATAATCATAGTAGTATAGAAAGGAAATCGATAAAATTATGATATTTTACATTCAGTATGATTCTATAGTGAAGTTTAATCCTGTTAAATGGTGGTGATGATGATGATGATGATAATGAAAAGTAATCAGAAAAACTGGGAATTTGTCAACTGGATTACTAAAAGTATTGTCGTTCAGCAAAAACTATGAACGTATCGACATATATAGACGAAGTATGTTAAGCAGAGATGAATGGTGACTAGCTATGGAATTCAGGACGGGCATACAATCCCAGATTTAGACCTGTCAGCTGGATGTACCATCATTTCAGAGCTCATGTTCACTCCAGTATTCGTACCCAGTACCATATGCTTCAAATGTCTATGTTATCCAATTAGCCACTAGTTCATGCGGTTGGGAGAATATTAATTCATTTTTGCATTGACCGTTTGAATTTTCCTATTGACGTTTAGGACTGCAATTGAACAGTCTCGATATTTCTAGTAACTCACAAGCATTATAAACAGAGATGAACGGTAGCTATCAGCGAGACCCAGGATGCGCGTTTTGTTCGGTTTAGTAATTACTGACAATATTGAGTCAGTTCGTGCAGGATTCACACATCAATTGCAGTCTTGAACATTAACGGGAAGATTCGACACAATGATTACAAAAATAAATTAAAATGGACGAAGTATTTGTTACAAGAACGATGATAATCTTCAGAGAAATGTGTAGAACTGACAATTCTTAGGGGCCACACTTGGAGCATTTGACCTACAAGACAGTCACATGGTAGCCGGTGACCAAAACCTGGTTCATACTCCACTTGTTCCCTCAGGATACTGGAGCCCATGTGCACCACTGATTTGGATTCATGTTTTTCCAACTACCCTAGGTGGACCTTCCATATCCACCAAACCGGTTAAAGCGCCAGATATTCGATTTTCGTAAACAACACCCTTGGTGCGAGAAGGCAGTGAGTAGGGCTTCCCTAGTAGTGGTTGTATACACGTGGTCATGTGAGAACATTTCGAGAGGGAGAGTCGATTATCCCCACCCTCGGCCGTACCATGGCATTTGTGGGCGCCACAAACTGTACTGAGACGTAACGACAGTACGTTGTTTTCCTCAGGCAACTAGTATCCGCATTTATGTTTCTTTCTAAACAAATGTGTACATTAAAAATAGTCAACTATAAAAAGACCACACTGCACTTATTGTCCCTTGCTATGAGGCCTAAAATGTACAGTCAACATGTCAAAAGCTGTTCATAAAAAGCAGTATTTGACCGGTCTGAAGCAGTTGTGGTAACACTCTCAAGACACTGAAAATACTACTAAAAGAATTTTCCCTTCATGAACCGTACTAAGTAATATCTTTCCAATTTGTAAACAACCAAAATGTCACAAATTTAAACATACCTCTGACAGAACTCGGACTCATCATTCGTATATTCTATATTTTTGCTTTATTTCTAAATATATCTTCTGTTTTTATTCTCAATCCCTGTCCTCTTATATCAACTATTTCCACGTGTGTCACCTGTGTTAACAATATGATTTCATGAAATGTCATTTCAGATCTATTTAAACAGAATTGATGAGTTCACGTGGGAGTTTTTATTATTTGAACCCTATCCTAAGTCAGGAAAAAAAGATCTCTGACTTGCTGGCGTAGGTAATTGGTTATTTCTAAACGTAGAGCAAGCACTTGAAAGGATTCCTGTAGACGATCGCCTATGATCATTTCAAGTAAACGATATGGTGAAGGACTCAGTAAGGCGAACAAGAAAACCGTCGCCTCTTATTTTTCCGCATACGTCTACCATTGAGGGCAGCTAGGGTCAATTAAAAGGTAGGTTTTACAATGAGCTTTCTAACCTCCTTAAGAAAGAAAGGTTCCTAGACATCCTAATTCAGATTAAAGTTATCAATAGTTATCTCTTTTTGTTATGCTCTAGATGTAAAAAGAGATACTGTCTAGTTTAATGACCAATATAACGAATGAACTAAATAGACTATACCACCCTCGAAAATTATTGGAAAAGTTTCGCACCTTCTGGATTTGTCGAAGAGGTTCGTTACAGTTAGATGCTTAACAGATCATAAACTAAAATCTTACCACGACGAAGCTTGAGTTGATTTTCAAATAACTACAACTGTATCAATAACGTCTGTTAGCAACGTAAACCAAAATGTTGTGCAAAATTAGTGGATTTAGGAATCTCCAGTGAACTGATTGATCCACAGGAGCTCATTCTGGAACGTTCGAAGGATTAAGGAGAGCAATAACTATTCAAGCATAGAGTCAAAGCATTTGCTTAAATATCGTAAGCATGTGTGGAAAACAAATTTAAAAATATGGAAGATGAAGTGCTGATAAGTAGCACTAAGCAAATATCAAGAACTTTATACAAAATGTTAGCTGTTAGAGCAACAAAAGACTGAACTGTAATCCATTTTTAATTCAGAAGATTAGATTGTTGGACAGAATCTTTTAGGAAACAATTTAACTGATCATCAGTTGCCCGTTATTTCTAAACAAACAGCAGAAAACCTAAATATTCCTTTCAACTCTTATTAATGTTTAGAAGGCTGTGTGTAACTTGATGGGAGGGAGGACAATATGATTTGATGCGTTAACTCTGAAAACCTTTAAAGTTGGTAGATTAATCTTAGTAGTCAATTTGTCTGGGATACCAGCTAGATTTAGGCAAACACGCTTAATCCCGTGCGACTAGTCTCGATTGTTGATCGCTCCAATTAAGAAAAAGGGCAGATATTCTCTTGTGATAACCACAGGGAAATTAATTTGACCAATATAGTGTCTTTACTCATCCGGCCCTTATCTGGTACATGGGAAATATCAGAGCCAGTTTTAAGTTAGACCTAAACGTGGACATATTAATCAAATGTTCTCTCTTCATCAGGTTCTAGAACATAGACATACATACAGATGTCTGACTATAGTTATATTTGTTGATTTGAAGGCACCAGTGGACTCTGTCGACCGAAAGGTTTTTTGCCAGGGCTTTTCATCGAAAGGCATATCGAAGAAGTACACAAACCATGTGAAATATATTTATGATTGCTGCTTATGATGAAGAGTCATCGGTGTTCTTATCTACAAACAGTACCATTAAGGGCAGTTAACTATACCTATCCGTATTTATTTTCTCTATAGATGTCTTCCTACAAATCACATTATCTGAATATTAGTATTCTGAGACTAATCTACTTTCTATAAACTCACTCCCTGATGAGAAGTAGGCAAATGATATAGTCCCATTAGGCAAATAAAATTATGAGATTATAGTTCTACAAACACCTTAAGTAACATTATCAACATATTTCAGTGGTATTTCTTTCCCTTTAAATCCAGAATATTTCTTCAGGACTGATATATATCATCATCTAGACTGACAGAAGAAAATGAGGCAGCTAAGCGAAGTAACCACTTTAATTATCTCAGAATTCTTACCAATCATGGTGTGTTTTTGCTTTACAAAATCGTATCACGAATTTAGAAACCTCACTAAATTTTTTACCAAGTTATGGCACATATCGACTTTAATTGTTTTCCTTCATTTCAAAAAATAACCTAACAATAAATCAGAACCATTCACTGAATCAATCTCTTATTTGAATGTCTAAATAGGTAAATCCCATTTACGGATAATTAACACTTTTTCCACGTGTAGTGACTATGATATGGAGAAGAATCATTAATTAAATTTTATAATAATAATAATAATAATATCCTAAATGGAATTGTTCTGCAATGAATTCAACCTACAAATCGGACAAATCTGTACACCCCCCCCCTCTAATTTAGACTATAAAGGTAACCTTGTTAATGAATTATTACAACATGCTCCCGATTTCTCACGATAAATTGTGTTTGGTGGAATTTAGGCATGTCATGAATGAAATTTTCGTCACTGTTGTCTTCGAATAGTCATTTCACTCTATAGCAAACTGACTGAACTTAAGACTGTACCATTGCACAACTACTCATTGGTTTTAATAGGTAAACATACACCGAGATACTTGAACAGTATGGATTTAATCCGTAGAGATATCATGCGTGTTCACTCCAGAGGAGTCCCATACTAGGTTGAAATAGCTAACTCTGGTTTTCAAATAAAATTAGTTTGTGATCAATACTACCCACAAATAATAATAACTTTGTTTTGTGTTCTTGTTTGTCTATAAAAATGTTGTGTAAAAAATCCACTGATTTTCAAACAACATAACTTTTCTAGAGATAAAACTGAAGCAGAACCATTGCCAGTTATTACTAATGTAAGCTCCTGAAATATATTAGTCGTTTTGTGGATCACTAATGTAGGAAGGCTATGTGGATGATGGCAAGTCTA